AAAAGCAAACTTAGGTCGGGCGTTGGTGGCACATGCCTTTAATCCCAGCACTCGGGAGGCAGAGGCAGGCGGATCTTTGTGAGTTCGAGGCCAGCCTGGGCTACCAAGTGAGCTCCAGGAAAGGCGCAAAGCTACACAAAGAAACCCTGTCTCAAAAAAACCAAAAAAAATAAAAATAAAAATAAATAAATAAAAGCAAACTTAGTCACTTACTCATTTGTCCTAGTGCTGAGGACAGACTGGAGCAGACAGGAAATCCCAGGCCTTGGGAAAACTAGCAAATCTCAGAGGAACATCAACTTTTGGGGCCAGCTCCCTGATACCCTGCCATGCTGCCCAAGGGCCCCCTGGACCCCAGCTCTGTACTCCATTCCACAGGTCAGCTGCCCCCTTCACCCCTGCTCACAATTCTTTCCCTTTCATTTCGTGGTAGCCAAGCTGTCCTCTCTGCCTTGGAAGATGTTGTACTGAAGGAGGCCAGGGCTGGGGTCTGTGAGGGAAGCACCCCCACCCCACCCCACCCCACCCCGCTGTCATCAGTGAGCTGCTGCAGGTGGGAGAAGCGGTTCCTTAGTGATCCTGGGTAGTGGAACTCCCGAGTTACCACCCTCAGTCTTGGGCCTGAGGTCCTTCTGATTCGGAAGATGTGAGATCTCTCTGGAACCATTCCGGAGACTGGGGCCTGCGGGTCCTCCGCTTCTCTGGCTCCTGACAGCGCCTTACGCTTTTTTTTTTAAGCTGTCCGCTCTCTCCTGTCAGCTCTCTGCTTCTAACCGTGTGAGAACAACCATGCACTGTGCAGGACAGTGCCAGGGTGCTGGAGTCCCATGCGATGCCTCCAAGACCTTTAGCTGTCCAATGGGAAGGAGGTGTGCGCATGCCCACACAGCGCGTCCATAGCGCCTACAGATCTAAGCCAAAGTCACCACAACTTTGGTGGACGCTTGTTAAACTGCAGAGCTGCATTCTCTGCCACTGTTTCTGTCTTCTTTGCCAGCTCAGCATGCACCATTGGAAGCAGGGAAGGCAACAGCACTCCAGGCCCCAAGGCTGCTGCGCTGGGGGGCAGCTCAGGAAAGCACTGGGCGGCGGACTGAGCCTCAGCAGCCTGCTTTTGTGGCCACAGGCTGTAAGAGGGAGAGGGAATGCTTACGCTCACCACGCTCATTTGTTTGGCCTGTCACAGCTGCTGCTTTAGAACCAAACAGGGTGGCGAAGGCTTGTGTTTTGGATCAATCACGGCCTTGTGTCCCCCCCCTTCCCCCCTTTCCCCCCCTGCCCCACACTACCCCAAGTCATAGTAGTCCCTCTACCAGGGGAAGTGCTCCCTCTCTGGCCAAGGTGGAAATGGTCCAAGCGGCTTAGTCCTCTGTGGAAAGTTCAAGGTCACTGGTGCTAGCATAAGGCTGGTCCAGCTGGCTGTAAAACCTATAGTCCCGTTTGCCCAGGGCAGCTTAGACAGCAAGAAAGCGTTCAGTACCTGCTAATTCGAGGTTCAGATTGTCCCCCGTGTCTTGGCTTCCTTAGGGAAAAGGAGCTTTGGCAGGCGTGCTCGGAGCAGTAAGAAAGGGCAGCTCTAACCGGTTTAAAGAATGCGTCACCAATACCTAACCCATGCCCCAGAGCCCAGGGAGAAGTTAGTCCCCCTCATCCATCTCACAAGGAGTCGGCCACCTAGATGACCAGCAGAGTGTGTGGGACCAGAGGGCTGGCAGCCAGGATGTAAGGACAGGGACTCCAGCGGTGCAGCTGGACTTGTCAGGAGGAAACTGGCCATGCAGGGTCAGGTACTGCCCCTCCAAGGGCAGAGAGCAAGCCAGCCTCACCCCCTGCAACAACTCCCCCCCCCACCAACACACACA